TATAGCAAGGCAATGACATTGTCAGTGACATATCTTAGTAAGTTATTCCCCAAACCTATACCCAAGTTTTCTTTCTTAGATCTATACAAATTCTAAAAGTAGTTTGATTTTTAAAAAAATGATTGTCCAAATCTGACAATAATGAGAGAGGAGGAGGGAGAGGGATAATAGGGGATAATGGGGGACACGTGAGGAACATGTACGGACACATGGACAAAGCCAAAGGGAGTGGGTTTGAGGGTGGGGGTGGGTGGGAAGGGGGGTGTGGTGGGGTGAAAATGGAAATAATTGTACTTAAACAGCAATACAAATAAAAAAATTAAAAAGTGATTGTTTCTTATTTATAAATAATGTATTTAAATTGTTTTTCAAGTACAGTTTTCTGCCTTTTACCCTCCCCCCTCCCCCCACCCCAGCCTTCCCTCCCTCCCTCCCTCCCCTGTTTCAACCCCCTCCTTGTTGTCCATATGTCCTTGATATGTTGTTCCTGTAAACCCTTCACCCTTTCCTCCCTTTATCCCTTTCCCTCTCCCTTCTGATCACTGTCAGCCTGTTCTCAGTTTCAATGTCTTTGGCTCTACTTTGCTTGCTTGTTTGTTTTGTTGATTAGGTTCCTGTTAATGGTGAGATCATATAGTAGTTGTCTTTCATCACCTGGCTTATTTCACTTAGCATAATGTTCTCCAGTTCCATCCATGCTGTTGCAATAAATAATGTTTTGACATGTAGTTTTCTGGTATTTGTTTTCCCTGTCAACGATAAGAGTTCAAAGGAAGGAAGGAATTTTCTGGCACATCAAGAACAAATAAGCTCCATGAGAGTAGGGATTTTTGTTTTGTTGTCCCAAGTGCCTAATATCTGGCACATAGGTGTACAGTAAGTATTTGAATAAAAATTTGTTGAATTTATAAATTATGTAATCTATTATCAATTTGAAGTATTTAAATCTTTAGGAGTTAAGTTTGGATGTAAGAAGAATTTTTGTTTTTTTGGAAAAAGATTTTAGAATGAGGTGAGCAATTACTGTACACTTACTAGTTTGTTAAGAGATGGTTTAACATTTGGACAAGCACAGTGTGTGCAGACCACTGTGGAAGAGGAATATGTGAGGAAACTTGCTGTTAAAGTAGAAACAAATAAGTACAAGTTCATATTGTAAAGTAACTTGCTAAATATAAAGTTGATCAATTGTAATGCAAAATGTTTTAAAGAACTATATTTTTATTAGTTTGAGGTAATATAATTAGACTTTGGTTAATAAAGGAGACAAGCTTTAAAATAAATAGGCAATGATGTTTTAATGAGCATGTCAAAGCATAAGCCAGAACAATTAGTGTTTATACATAAAGTTACATAAAGTGCCTAGCTGTTTTTTATTAGTAAATAATTTCTTTATAAATATTTTTACCTCTTATGCGTTTGCTTACTAGAATGGCCACAAATTATAACCAAGATCTGAGACTCCTTTATAATAGAAACTGCTAAGTATTAGGAAGTGAAGGAGAGATCAACATTTGATATGTAAGAAAATGAAGGGGTAGGATAGGAAATTATATAGGAGGAGAAGGCATTCAGGTATTACTTCATGTACTCAGCAGTATTTATTGATGGGTTACTATGCTAGAGGCTGGGATATAAAAGTGAAAAAAGTAGGTCAAGTTCTTGCCCTCATGTAGCTTACAATGTAGGAAGGAAACCCACCCTGGCATAATGTCAAATTGTGATAAAAATGCTTCTCTCTTACTAATTAGGTTGAACATTCTTTTTCCATGCATTTTACATTTAAAAAAATAACAGCTTTATTAAAATATGATTCACACACTATGACATTTATCCTTTTAAATATCCTTGTTCAATTTAGAGGGTTTATTTTTGTCTTGTTAGCTGAATTTCAGCAGGGTTCTCTTTGAGTGTCTCTTTTCTACATCTTTCTCTGAAAGCTGCTGCCTTCTTTTTTTAAAAAAAGATTTTGTTTATTTTTAGAGGGGAAAGGAGGGGGTGGAAGAGAGGGACAGAAACATCAATGTGTGGTTGCTTCTTGCATGCTCCCTACTGGGGACATGGCCCGCAACCTAGGCATGTGCCATGACTAGGAATTGAACCAGCGATCTTCTGGTTCACAGGCTGGCACTCAGTTCACTGAGCCACACCAGCCAGAGCTGCCTTCTTCTTTCAACCTCCTACTCATTTGGCTTCACTAACTACCAGATTATTGTTCTCCATTTTGGTATGGTGTGCTAAGGCATAAATTGCTCAGCAGTCTGATATTAAATTCTGGTAGGGGTAGTTTTTGTGGCTACTCTTTGAGGTTTGTTATGACTGTAGGTGTGCTCATCTCAGCTATCCTTGTTTTTTTTCTGAGGAACTAGCTGGCTTATGATTTAGCTTGTTGCTTTTTAAGGCATTCCTCACACTGTTTCAAATAAAGTCAGTTACTTTTGGGAGAGCTTGAGTTCAAATTATAGTCTGCCTATCCTTCAGGGCAAAGTCTCTGAGCACTGTTCTGGGCACAGGACTGGGCAGTGGCCTCTGACTTGCTGCTTCTGGTATCCTATGAGCAAACTGGTGAGGACAGTGGGGCCCCAGCAATCTCAGCCTACCACCCTGTGGTAAAGCTTTTGATTTATAGGTGGAGACTGGATAAAGGAAGGGAGCTTCTGCTCTCTTAGCCACAGTCACCAGGAATTTAGCCTCTTTAACTTGGAGCTGGCGGAAATGAGAAATACTGATAGCTTACCTTTCTCTGTGACTTAAGGTAAGCCTTGGTTAAGAGCTGAAAGGCTCTTCGTTTTCTTGGCCACACCTGCCTGAAACAGAGCTTCTTGTTAACCTGAGCTGGGGCAAGGTAGGAAATGGGTTATGGCTCAGATGCCATAAACTACCAAATTTTAGTAGATGTTCTCAAATAATATTTCTTTATTCAAATACATCCTCAGGACAATTTCTAGACTTTAAATGGTTGTTTTTTAAAAAATAGGTTTAGTCAGTTTTGCTGGTATCACTGGTATCTCCAAACTACTGAATTCTAAGTATTCCTAAAGTTCAAAGATGTCTTCTCAGTAAAGAAATTACCATCCCATGTAACTCAGTATTTGTTTTTCTTTTTGTACTTTTCTAAACAGAGGTTTTAATCAGACATGAAACCCAGAGCTACAAATATCAGAGCAGTCTTTACACTACCCTAACTCATACTAAAGACTATATAATCACTGTATATATCATGAGCTACAGATGTTATTTTCAGGGTTTATTTACCTAGTTTTCTGCCTCCCACAGAAATCTGCAGCTTCCTGCCAGCATGATTACTTGATTGGATTTTGTAGTTCTTTGTCTCTATTGATATGTGGATGTTTCCTCATAGTACATTTGATATTTTTACATTCTTTCATATTATTAGCATCATATAATTTACAGATGTTTAAATTGATATTAAGTTAAATTCTAAACTTTAAAATGGTTTCATCTGATCTGAAATTATGTTTTATAAAAGAATGGTACTGACATCTGTGCATTTCAGTTATATACAAAGTTTCATATAAGAACATCAGAAACTTAAAATTTTAAAAGTTGAATGTGCCTCATTTTTTTATTGTATTGAATGTAGAATTCTTTCCAATTGTCACTCTTGATATGTTTGTCAGTATACCCAGTTCAGTTGATCACTGTCTCCTTTCTGTGTTTACTCTTTTTGTGACCACTGAATGACTCCCTTCCTAAAATATGCCCACATTCCTGAGAGGGAATACAGTGTAGGGCAGAGTGATCATACCAAATCATTCCATATGTCACTTAAAAGAAAGTATATTGGTTTTCCTTGGGTTAATCAGCTTTTTTAGTTTTGATGGTAGAGAGGGAGTGGGGTCATGTTGTAAAATATATTTATACCTCTGCCTAAGATTATCATGTAGATAATTTCTTCAGCAGGAGCATAGGTTTGACAGTTTCTTGCAGAATGAGGTGGTAGCTATAAGTGAACCAATTTACAAACACTTATTAATATAAGCATTGCTTACCTCTGGCTATAATTCTGCAGAAGCAAAGTTACAGAAGGAGTAGATAGTGGTCAGTTTTATAGTAGTAAGCTGTTGTGAATTCCCTTTTTTGTAACATTCACTTGTATGCTATTGTAATGTCATATAACATCTGTCTGTAATAGTGATCTGTTGTGAAAATTTACTTTCATGATATACAGTATCTGGCCGCTTGATGAATTTTATACTGTAATTGAACATATCAAATGTAGGATTTAGTGCTAAAATATCCATGTATGTTCCTATAGTTTTGGGAATGACACAAAAAACTGGCCATTGATTGCCCCTAAAGAAGAGAATACCCTAGGTTGGAGGACTCAGAGGGGAAGTGTACTCTTTTATTCCATCTGAGTTTTGTAATGAGTGTAAATGTTACTGAAACAGTAGTAAAGCACTAAACAATGGCACAAGGGAAAATAGGCAGACAATCTGTGGCTATAAGTCTTGCCAAATATAATTTTTGGGACTGCTGTTTGGATTTCTTTTCACAGTTTGTAAGCTCTCTGTGTTGATTAATGGCTAAATTTGATTAGAATGCCCTTGTAGATGGTAAAAATTCTTTTCTAATATTTTATTACCGTATCGTTCCCTCCAAGTTCAGATGATTTAGAAAAGTTGCTAGGTTTCTCTTTAACATGAGATATATTCTAGATTTGGAATACAAGTTAGTAGAAGTGTTGCTTCATGAATAAAAAGACCGTGGTGTTGACTTGTGAGTATTCTTTTACTACAGATAACTAAGACAAGATTTTTGGAGGTACTTTGATCTATATAGAAGGTAAAAAGTTTACTTGAAGCTTTTTTCAAAGTCTGAGTGATTCAATTCATTCTCGGTATTTAATTTTAAAAGAATGCCTTTAGCAAATCTCTTTAGAAAATGAGGTTGGGTTATGTTCAAGTTTTAGGTTATTGTCATATCATTGTATTCTAAACATTTACAGGCTTTTTTTTTTTCTTTCTGCCCTTTAGCCGGCCTCAGAAAGTGTGTTTGTGTCCATTTCTACCAGTGCATCCTCTGCACATCTCTACCCACTTGTACATCATTCAGCATCCAGCAGAGGTGAGTAAGATTTTGTAAAATACACAAGTTCAAATAGAATATTAGTACATAAGAGGAAACACACAGATGAACATACTCATTCCTCCCAGCTCTTTAGTATTTCTGGAAGTAAATTGATGATACATGTTTTTTCCTTGGGAAAACATAGTTACATGTAGTGTCATATTCTTTGGAGATAGATAAAATGTTATTTTATAAAAACTATGTGGTTGAATAGTATAGAAGTTTAGAACTCCAATAATTTCATTTGAAGAAAAAATGAGGTTTATGTGAGTGAAGAGCTAGGAAAATCAGTGCTTTTAAGATTTTGATTATATTTTATATTCATTGATGTCTTTTCTTGTTAAAGTAGAAGTAACTCTCAGCATTTTATTTTATTTCTTTTTATTTTTTTAATTATAATTTATTAATTATGCTAGTGCAGTTGTCTCAATTTTTCCCCGTTGTGTCATGGGGGGTGTCTACCCAACACCCCCCACTCCATCAGGAAATCCCCACACCATTGGGGATTGTTCATGTCCATGGGTCATGTGTATAAGTTCTTCGGCTATTCCATTTCCTATACTATATGTTATGTCCCATTGGCTATTCTGTAACTACCTATTTGTACTTTTAATCTCCTCATCTCTTCACCCTTTTGTCCGTAGTTCCCTTCAACTGGTAACTATCAAAACCCTTTCCACATACATGATTTTGTCTCTGTTCTTCTTGTTTGCTTAATTTATTTTTTAGATTCTTTTGTTTATATATATTTATGCCATTTTATTGTTCATAGTTTTGATCTTCTTCTTTTTCTTAAATAAGTCCCTTTAACATTTTATCTAATAATATTTTGATGATGATGTACTCTTTTAGTTTTTTTCTTGTGTGGGAAGCTCTTTTTTGCCTTCCAATTTTAAATGATATCTTTGCTGGGTAGAAAAGTCTTGGCTGTTGGTCCCTATTTTTCATGACTTTGATGTTTCTTGGTAATCCCTTCTAGCCTGCAAAGTTTCTTTTGAGAAGTCAGCTGACAGTCTTATGGGAACTCCCCTGTAGGTAACTGAGTTCTTTTCTCTTTCTGCTTTTAAGATTCTTTCTTTATTTTTAACAGTTGGCATTTTAATTGTGATGTGTCTTGGAGTGGGTCTCTTTGCATCCATCTTGTTTGGGACTCTGTGTTTCCTGGACTTGGATGTCTATTTCCTTCACCAAATTAGGGAAATTTTCTTTCATTACTTTTTTTCTTTTTTTTTTAAAGATTTTATTTACTTATTTTTAGAGAGGGAAGGGAGGGAGGGCGGGAGAGAGAGAGATCAATGTGCGGTTGCTGGGGGTTATGGCCTGCAACCCAGGAATGTACCCTGGCTGGGAATCGAACCTGGGACACTTTGGTTCCCAGCCCGCGCTCAATCCATCATTATTTTTCAAATAAATTTTCAATTTCTTGCTCATTCTCTTGTCCCTCTGGCACCCCTATGATGCTAATGTTGCAACGCTTGAAGTTGTCCCACAGGCTGCTTACACTATCCTCAGTTTTTTGGATTCTTTTTTCTTTTTGTTGTTCTGATTGGTTGCTTTTTGCTTCCTTATGTTCCAAATCATTGATTTGGTTTTTGGCTTTATCCACTTTAGTGTTGTTTCCCTGCAAATTGTTCTTTATTTCAATTACTGTATACTTTGTTTCTGACTGCATTTTTTTATGCTGTTGAGGTCCTCACTAAATTTCTTGAGCATACTTATAACCAATGTTTTTTTGAAATATATTTTATTGATTACGCTATTACAGTTGTTCCATTTCCCCCTTCATTCCCCTCCACCCCATACACCCTCTCCCCCCTTTAGTTCATGTCCATGTGTCATAAGTTCTTTAGCTTCTATATTTCCCATACTATTCTTGCCCACCTCCTATTTTCTACCTACCATCTATGCTACTTATTCTCTGTACCTTTTCCTATTCTCTCCTCCTCCTGCTCCCCTGTTGCTAACCCTCCATGTGATCTCCCTTCTGTGGTTCTGTTCCTGTTCTAGTTGTTTGCTTAGTTTCTTTTGGTTTTGTTTTAGGTGTAGTTGTTAATAATTATGACTTTGCTGTCATTTTACTATACATGTTTTTTTTAATCTTCTTTTCTTAGATAAGTCCCTTTAACATTTCATAAAATAAGCGCTTGGTGATGATGAACTCCTTGAACTTGACCTTATCTGAGAAGCCCTTTATCTGCCCTTCCATTCTAAATGAAAGCTTTGCTGGATAGAGCAATCTGGGATGTAGGTCTTTGCCTTTCATGACTTGGGATACTTCTTTCCAGCCCCTTCTTGCCTGTAAGACCTCTTTTGAGAAATCAGCTGACAGTCTGATGGGAACTCCTTTGTAGGTTACTGTCTCCTTATCTCTTGCTGCTTCTAGGATTCTCTCCTTCATTTTTACCTTGGCTAATGTAATTATATGTGCCTTGGTGTGTTCCTCCTTGGGTCCAACTTCTTTGGGACTCTCTGAGCTTCCTGGCCTTCCTGGAAGTCTATTTCCTTTGCCAGAATGGGGAAGTTCTCCTTTATTATTTGTTCAAATAAGTTTTCAATTTCTGGCTCTTCCTCTTCTCCTCTGGTACCCCTATAATTCGGATGTTGGAATGTTTAAAGATGTCCTGGTTCCTAAGCTTTTCCTCATTGTTTTGAATTTTTATTTCTCCATTCTTTCCTGTTTGGTTGTTTCTTTCTTCCTTCTGGTCCACTCTATTGTTTTGAGTCCCAGTTTCCTTCCCATCACTATTGGTTCCCTGTGCATTTTTCCTTCATTTCTCTTATTGTAGCCTGCATTTGTTTATCTAAGTTGCGACCAAAATCAACCAATTCTGTGAGCATCCTGATCACCAGTGTTTTGAACTGTGCATCTGATAGGTTGGGTATCTCTCGGTCACTTAAAAGGATGGGTTCTGGGGCTTTCATTTGCTGTTTGAACCATCTCTCTCTCTCTCTCTCTCTCTCTCTCTCTCTCTCTCTCTCTCTTTCTTTTGGTCTTGTTGCACCTGTTACAGTAAGGGGAGGAGCCTTAGGTGTTCACCAGGGCAGGGCACCCCAGTTGCTGGATTGTGATGTTGTATGTTGGGGCGGGGTTGAAAGGTAACAATGGTGATTGCTCCCTTCTCCATGGGACCTCAGTCCCCTCTGCTGCTTTCCCCAAGCAAACTGGGCCCCTCTGGTGCCAATTCCCATGTGGGTGGGCTTGTGCATGCCCTAGGACCCTCCAAGGACCTCCTCTGTGGGGCTGGGTGTCTCTCTGTGCACCTCAACTCCCACAGGTGTCCTCAATCAGTGTCCTGAGGCTCTATTTCCCAGCCCTGTGATCCTGGGTTGTGCGCACTGCCACACTGCCTTGCTTTACAATCACTTCCCCACTGGGTCTTCTGGTTGCTTGTTGCCACCCCTGGGCTGGGGTCTGCCAGCTGCCGCCTGTGTACTCAGGGTCCACCCGCTGCAGTCTTGCCCACCCCGGATGCTTTACACACCTCCGGATGGCTTATGTGCCCCCGGATGCCTTACGTGCCCGGTTCCATGGCTCTCCGCTCTCCACGCAGCGACCCGCACCTGGCTGCTCATTTCCGCCCCTCCTACCTGTCTGGGTGCATGGGTCTAATTCAACTTCTTGGTTGTCTGACTTCCATTCAGATCAATTTTCTGTCATTTCTGGATGTTATTCTGTTTCTAAATTGTTGTTGTCCCTGTCTTGGTTGTGTGTGGAGGTATGGTGCATCCACCTATGCCTTCATCTTGGCCGGAAGTTTTATAACCGATGTTTTGAACTCTGTATTTAATTGATTGCTTCTCTCCATTTTGTTTAGTTCTTTTTCTGGAGTTTTGATCTGCCCTTTCACTGGGGCCATGTTTCTTTCTCTCTTCATTTTGGCAGTCCCCCATGTTTGTTTCTATGTATTAGGTAGAGCTAGTTTGACCCCATGTATTGGTAGCATGGCCTAAAGTAGTAGGTGTCCTGTAGAAGCCAGTGGCCTAGCCTCTGCTATCATCCAAGCTGGGTACTCGAGGTGCGCCCTCTGGGTACTTGAGAGTTGTAGTTGAGCCTGGTAGTGGTGCCTTGGTTTTTGTTGGCAGATCAGTGGGAAGGATTTACCCAGGCAAGTCAGCTGTAAGGACTGGCTTGTGACCACTGACCACCAGCCTCTGCCCTCTGTGGAGGACAAGCTGTGCCAAAGCAGGGTGATGGTTCTCTGACATGGTCTATAGCTGTCTACAGTGCACAGGCATTGTGGTTTCCTGGGTGGTGTACACCAAGGTCAGCTCCTACTTGTGTTTTGTCAGGAACCGCCCTGTCTGGGCTCTAAAGCAATCTGAGATGGTTGCTACTGGTGCTAGGCTTGGAGATTCCCAGGAAAAACCAAACTGTGAATCTAGGCTGGCTTCTGTGAGTACTGTGCCTGGGACCACTTAGCGAGAGGTACTGGGGACTCACTGAGGTTGGCTATTGCTTATTTGAGAGGATTCAGGAAGTTGTGAACCATGAGCAACATTCATATGGAAAAGTTTCTGTTAAAAACTTTGTGGGCCTGTAAGTTTGGTCAGATGGGGTCTCGGGGGATCTCTAGGGAGGGGCAAAGAGTATTAGCCAGGTAATGGAATCTCAGATATGGCACCTACCTGCTGGTTTTGTGGCTTTGTGGGAGGATAGTCCAGAAAAGGGACAGTGGTCTTTTTGTCTGGGAGAAAGCTGTCCTCCGGCTCCTGCCTTGATCACAGATCCTTCACTTCCTCCCTGTATGTCACTGGTGCCTTTCAAGCTGCTATCCTGGTGCTAGAGCTGACAGGGAGTAAGTCCCTGTGTGGGTTCTTTAAGAGGAACTGCTTGTGACTCCAGCAGTTTCTTCCACCAACTGAGTTCCTGCTGGTTTTTGCAGCTAGAAGTTGCAAAAACTTATTTTCCTGTCACTGGAATCCTGGGCTGGGGCCCTGGTGTAGGGCTGGGACTCCTTGCTCCCGAGATATCTTTTCCTGATTTTTATCCACCACAC